TTTTTTTTTTTTTTTTTTTTTTATAGTAACGGGACTTGACTCCTACTCTTATAGTGCACACACAACCCTCAAAGCGCCTTTTTTTTTTCAGTAACAGGGCGCGAACCATGGACTGTCGGATTCACAGTGCACATTAGACCACGCCCAACCTACGAGAAAAAAACAAAAAACGTGGAACATGGGCGAGTGTTGTAAGTGTCTTGGTATTAAGGCTCGTTACTTCCTCTACAAATTGTGTTAATCTATTATCCAGTGTGTGACACCCTCCCCCTCGATACAATTGAATGGCCCACAGATGATCAAATTTGTGAACTAAAATATAAATGTTCTTCTCAGGCCCCCTTATCAGAGATTTTTCTTTGGGTCTTGGTATTAAATTAAAATATGGAGTCCCTTTGTCTGTAGTAATTTCGCATGTATTTCATTATATCTCAGTGCAATATTAACAAAATTAAAACCATAAACAAAAGTGTGTTCTAAATAGTGATGAAGCTATACTACTTAATGCCACTAATTACAGCCGGGGGGTGGCGGGGAGAGACTAAACAAAATGCAACACAGATTATTTGAATCCTGGAGATTTAACACTTTCTCATGATAGACAATATTAGGACTGTTTTGCCTTGAAAAGGGGGAAATTCTGGGGAGAAAAACAACAAGAAACAAATTTATAGTTGAAACACGTTTCATTAAGCATAACGCCTAATTCTTAATTACATAATTTTCATGTAGTTTCATCAAAAGCAAATAAATGAGTCAGTTTGCTGTCACAAATATGTGTATACCGTTGTACACTATTGATTAAAAATCGTCATTCCTTTTCTTTCCTGTGCACGTAATTTACGAGCCTATCTGGTAAACACATTTTCCAGTCAAATAACTGTTGCTAGGCGACAACATTATAGTGTGACATTTATTATGTGTGAAATGAATTGTTTGAAAATACACTTTTAATAGCTCAATGTGCGTGTGGCTTTATGTGAGCTTGATGGTCGTAAAGTACACGTTTCCATAATTTAAGTTTTGTCAGGTCAATGTCAAAAAAAGACGAAGGAACACGCTCTTGAATTTAAAACTTCTTTTGGTTAAACTGTGTGCCACGGGATCGAAACCCGGCATTGAACATTCTCGCCCTTTCAGTTGTGAGGGACTTTATAATGTGACGGTCAATCCCACTTTGGTGTTGGGTGCTGCCGACGTGTGGTCAGTAGTTCAGAATTAGGGACAAACAAACAGTTGACTAGAATGACCCTTAAAAGAAAGTTAACTCGAGAATACCTCGAATTTTCACCTTCGTTACGCCAACCTCATACAGTCGGCTAAAATTTTACTGTCTACATATATATTAATAAATTTCAAGCTATAAGAAATTGCACGTGCATTGATACTGGATTAAGTTACATGTAAATAAACAATGTAAGTTTAACCCCCCCCCCCATATTTTTATCATTACATTTAACTGTGAGGCATGACAGATTGCATCTGTGGTTAAATTATACAAAACATTTTATATTTGAATTCCAGGAAACTGAAATATAATTTAAGTATATTTTACCCAAATGCTTTTGACCACTATTCGTAACGATTTAACTGATCTGTCTTAGTAATGATAGTTCCCCAAAATATGTAAATCACCAAGAAACTATTAAATGTTTGAACATTTCAGTGTTAACTGATTTCAACTGAAGTCTGTTTAAAAACAACAACAACAAAAACAACACAAACTGTAAGTTTGTAGACAAAAACTTATATTCTCTTTTTTTTTCCTTGTAATAATAATCAAAACCAATTACGTAACGTAGATTATTCTACAAGTCAATTTTACTCTTTGGTTTTTGTTCTTTTGCAGAGATCCATAGTATTTGGCGCCATCTGGTGTTGTTAATTGCAAAGATCGAGTGAAGAAAAATTCTCTATCTAATCGGAAGATCATCTCATTGTTAATCCTTTGTTCCTATTTCCCCCCTCCCACAACAGATGTGTCCATTGGGCAGCATTCTACAGAAGTTCGTTACCATGCCAACGGCTCTGCTCCCCCACCTTGTGTTAGTGAATGAAACACGTTTAGTGTTAGGAAGCTCAGTGTGCAGCCACACGGATAGAGTCAACGAGAGATTGTGAACTGGAAGCCTTGAAGTCAACTCTATGCTTTTTTGTTTATCCTAGAGCGTTTTGTAAAATCCGACTGCTTTCTGAAATTGCAAGATTAATGAATTAATTTCCTGAACGTTAAGATGGACAAATAATGAAAGCGTGATTTGTTTTTAATTGTAATTTTTGCTCGGGTCTTAGTTTTCTGGCTTATGTGTCATGGCGGAAGTTGTAAATGGGTCTTTAAATGAAAGTAAATCAGTAAAAGGCGAAGTAAAATCGAATGGAAATATCACCAAGTCCGAGATGACAGTAAAAGAGACAAAAGTTGTAGAAGGACAAGAAAAATTCAAGAAAAACAATTCAGGAAATAAAGAAAACGGGGAAAGGGGGAGGACTAGCCCTAGGAAGACCAGAAAATCAAAACAATATCCAAGACCCCCTCTACCTCCACTTCCTGAGGGCTGTGAGGCTGAAGAAATCGAGTGTAGCGCCCCCTTCAGACGAAGTGGTGTGGTACGTGGACGTTTACTGAAGTCCTCTCGCGGCGACTTTCTAAGTTATTTTTGTTACTACAGTCAAATGGAGTATAAACCAGGAGGTAAGATTTGATTAAAAATATATAAATTCCCTCCACCCCCCCCCCTTTTTTTTTTGTTCGTTAAAAATGTACCAACATGTAAAAGAAGGTTGCACGTACGGACACATCACATTAGTAAAGATGTCTGTCGTGTGTTAGTTACAACAGTATATAAGTTCGTGTTGTTCATTCTGCTTGTGTTCGTGCTACTTTAATCTCTCTCTGTATGTTTGTTATTCATAGTTTTAATTTGTTGTTAGTTTTTGGCGTCCGGTGAGAACTAAAGATAATAAAAAAAAATATTATCTGCTTAAAAGTTTTCTTTGTACGTAGAAAGGTTTCTTGTTAAATAATTTACAAGTAATTTTACTTATCTGTAAACAGCGTTTAGTTTAGATAGCACACATATCTTGAAGTGAAAGTTCAAGGAGATCCATTAATTGTGCCTACTTTGTTACATCATGTACTTTTTAAAGATAATATCTTTGAAATTGAATTGATCTAATTCGTCATGTAATTGGTAGGTTTGTAGTAGTTTGTTTGTTGGAAGTTAAGCACAAAGCTATCCAAAGGGATATCTGTACTCTGCTCACCGATTGTATATAGTTGTAAATAATTGATTTTCTTTAACATTTTCTTATTATTAAAATATATACATCAATATAAGATTAACAGTTATGAAAATTCTGTACTTGGAGCATCAGGAAGGTTTTGTTTGTTTGTAATTAAGCACAAAGCTACATAATGGGCTCTCTGTGCTCTGCCCACCACTGGTATCGAAACCCGGTTTCTAGCGTTTTAATTCCGCAGACATACCACAGTGCCACTGGTGGGGGGAGGGGCGTAGCAGACATCCAGATTTTTGGAGTCGATGAGCCAGATTCGTATCCGTGCGATGTCACAAAATATTCCCGTACGCTGTGATAGTCAATCACTTGGAGTGGATGATGGGTGGTAGGGTGCTGCTGACAGTTGTTTAAAATTAGGGACAGCAGCAAATGTCCCTTGTAACGTTACCATAAATACAAGATACAAATTCAATGTTTAATTTAGAATTTATATACATATATTATGCACGCTAGGGAACAGCGTGACCTTTTCCAAGGATGTTAATTTGACATTTCTTTCTATTATTGGGTGATTTCTTTTCAACTATAGAATAGGAGTGCAGAGTCCAGTCCACTTACTGGTAACAAAAGGGTAATGTTTTATTTCTTTAACTTCATGGTTTTGCCAAATAACGATAGGCCTAACTTCACAATTAAAACTAAACTGTAACACAAAACTGACTAGCAAGTTTGTTAACTCAATAGTCAGCCCACCATTAAAATAGACTCGCTAATCAATCAACAATCTACTGTAGTCTCGCGTTTTATATCGTTCAAATCGTTTCCGAAATTCTAAAGAAAATCCTACCATAAAGCCACGCGCCTATCGCGTGATATTAAAAACTCCCTCCAGTCAAAACAATATAATCACTTAAATTTCAAAAGAAAAAAGAACAGATCTATCTATTTTTTTAGCCGGATCAAATATTTAGTTAGATTTGGCTAAATCATTACTTTTAGAAGACACCATAAATCAATTAAGTATGTAACAAGTACATGGGCAGAAACTAACCACCGCTATGTACAGATATGGTGTCATATATGCTTCAACAAATAGACATGTTTATCATACTTAGCTTTCTGCTTTTACTGAACGGAAATGGCTAGCGTGCAAGGAAAAACAAAAAAAAAGCTTACGCAGCTGGTCTCCATGTTGTTACTTTCCTACCTGCCGAGTAATTACAAAATATAAACCTGCCTTTCTAGGCTGTATAAAACGGCCTTGTTATACTAGTTTTATGAAAAAAAAGTAAGACCCCCAGATATGACGAGCACCGTGATTGTTTAAAACAGGTGATTGGCATGTAACTTCATGTTCCTACTGTTGTAATCACCCCCACAGGCGGTGTGAACTGCAGAGGCAATACGAATTTACTCGTTAGGGTTCGTTTTACGTATTTAGCCTGTAGCCAGTAGAGTCCAGAAGTGATTTACTTATTTTCCATAACCTATAATAGTAATAAATTAGAAGTAGGCCTTATAACACAAGACAAAATAAAAGTTTGCAATTTCATACAACTTTTAGCTTATTTGTTAGCAAGGCCTATTTATGGCGCGTACCTAAAAGTCAGTATACTTATACCCAGTTCTTTAGTTACTAATATTGCGCGAAAATACACATCTCAACGCCGACACCCCCAAGCTAACCCTTGTTACGAGCTGGTATTTAATTTTAAATGTACTGCCAAGGCATTCTGTAACGCTCAAATGGTTCATTAGAAATGGTAAAGATGAATAATAGGAGTATTCAAAGGTGTAAAGATGAATAATAAATTAATTTTCATACCTCTGAATGCTTCTTTGATTCATTTTCATACCTCTGAATGCTTCTTTGATTCATTTTTAAACCTCTGAATGCCTCTTTGATTCATTTTTAAACCTCTGAATGCTTCTTTGATTCATTTTTAAACCTCTGAATGCTTCTTTGATTCATTTTTAAACCTCTGAATACTTCTTTGATTCATTTTTACACCTCTGAATACTTCTTTGATTCATTTTTACACCTCTGAATACTCCTATTATTCATCTTTACACCTTTGAATACTCCTATTATTCATCTTTACACCTTTGAATACTTCTATTATTCATCTTTACACCTTTGAATACTCCTATTATTCATCTTTACACCTTTGAATACTCCTATTATTCATCTTTACACCTTTGAATACTTCTATTATTCATCTTTACACCTTTGAATACTTCTATTATTCATCTTTACACCTTTGAATACTCCAAAGAGGCATTCAGAGGTGTAAAAATTAATAAAGAAGCATTCAGAGGTGTAAAAATGAATCAAAGAAGCATTCAAAGTTGTGTGTTTTTATTTTTCTATGACCGTAGCTCCTTCGTGCAGGTTTACTGATTATCATGACCAGTTCAAGATATTATTTAAAGAAAATCAGTTACTACTTTCAAAACAAAACATGCCTGAGAATTTCGGTGTCAAATCGGCATCATAAAGCAAGCTGAGCGAAAGGTTCCACGTGTCATTAGTAAGTTTCGTATATTAATATTATTGTGTTCACATTCTTAAACTACATGTTAAACATGTTTATGAATAAAATAACAAGTATCATATATTCTAGGCTTGATAGCAGTGGCGTAATATTGCGGGTAGGAAAATATATCTAGGGGCCCCAATTACTTTTTTATGTGGAGGGGCATCTTTTATAATTGGACCACTGCTTGATAGACAAGGTTTAAATCTTGTTATCTAGTGAAAACATTAAACTTAAAGACACATAAATGACACATACTTGTACCTTATAATATATTTGTGGCCTAAATAACCTATAGTTGTTGCGCAACCACGATCAGATTTGTTTGTTTTTGTAGTAATAACATCTAATTGTTTTGTCGAATCCTCTAAGCCTATAGTTCTCCTCTCTCAGAAACAGTTTATTTTTATCGGCCACGCGTTCTCTGCATCTTTTTATTTACCCCGGGGGTGAAATAAAACGCAGAAAATCTCGTTATGTTAAAGCAGCTTCGTATCACTGCATCACCTAGTGACAAGAGTATCGGAGGCTTACTGCTTTCTAGTAGCTCTAAAAGTGAACATTAAAGCCCCTCTCTGACTTCAACAAGCCAGATGCTGAATAATGTTCTTAGGGGTCCCCCGCGGGGGAAGAAATTCTGGGCTTAAACAATTTATGGCATTTGACGCGGTTCACTTTCTCTTCCGAGCTGTAACATACGCATAGTGTAAAAACTGATCAACCTCTAGTGATTCGGTAAAAATTTTACCCCCCCCCCCCATTTCTATTCGTCTCTCTCTCTGGGAAATGTCATGTTGTTCGTACGTTGAGCAAATCTCAACATTTATTAACAGCATGTTGACAAAGGAGGAACACTTAAAGCACGTGTGAAAAAGGTCTTACTATTTGTTAACCTTTTCTTCGGTTAACAGGATAAATAAATAAATGTTTTTTAAAAAATAAAACTGTCTAGGAAAACTGTAGATTTTCGTTCGGTGTTCCGTACAAGATGATGTATTACATCGATACGTCATAAATACGTGTCGTCCCCCCCCCCCCGGGTAGGACAGCGCTAAAGTCCGGGGTTCGATTCCCCCGCGGTGGCCATGGCAGGTAGCCCAACCAATGTGGCTTTGTTCTAAGACAAACAAACAAATATATATATATATATATATATACATTGTGATTTTAGAAATATATTAGGATATTAGTTCTGGGCACGAAATAGCAGGAAAATAAAATATACTTAGATAAAACTAATTACAAGTGAATTTAAGTTGGTTTTTAAAACCCTCTCTATTTCTGAAGTATATCTTCTTCAACAACAAGAATCGCCTCTCGACCCTCATCCTATTCATAGATGGTATATTTATTCATAGGTGGAGACTGTAAAACCTCCAAAGCGAAACGCCATTTTAAAGTAGAGTAGGAGCTTATTAAGTTACTGGATTATCAATTAAAACAGGTAATTAACTCGTCAACCACTGCCCCTCCTCAGGTCCCCCCGGTGGGACAGCGGTAAGTCTTTGGATTTACAATGCTAAAATCAGGGGTTCGATTCCACCTCGGTTGACACAGCAGATAGGCCGGTGCGAAACACAAGATCCAGGTATCTAACTTCACCGTTTAAATGCTGTTAAATTTGGCGTCGAAGTTTTAATAAAAAAAGGAACCGCGTTGATTAAAGAACGCCTTCCAACACTTTACAATTCACGGTCTTAATTTCAATTAAGTCAGTTCAAATTTCTCACTTGCGTGTTTTTATATTATGTAATATGATAATTTTGTTAATATTTCCTAGTTCCTTTACATTACTGAACATGGAATCTGTACTATTCCGAAACGTCTGTTCAACATATTGTTCCGTCGTCCTCTCATTTCTTATATCATGTTATAAAACTAGTATTACGAAGGTTTTTTTTGTAACGTTATATAT